CATCATGCTAGCATGTTTTAGCAAGAAGCTAGCATGATTAGCATGTAGCTAGCATCATGCTAGCATGTTTTTAGCAAGAAGCTAGCATGATTAGCATGTAGCTAGCATCATGCTAGCATGATTAGCATGTTGCTAGCAAGAAGCTAGCATGATTAGCATGTAGCTATCATCATGTTCGCATGATTAGCATGTAGCTAGCATCATGCTAGCATGTTTTTTAGCAAGAAGCTAGCATGATTAGCATGTAGCTAGCATCATGCTAGCATGATTAGCATGTTGCTAGCATCATGCTAGCATGTTTTTAGCAAGAAGCTAGCATGATTAGCATTTAGCTAGAAACATGCTAGCATGATTAGCATGTAGCTAGCATCATGCTAGCATGATTAACATGTAGCTAGCATCATAATAACATGATTAGCATGTTGCTAGCATCATGCTAGCAGTGTTTTAACAAGAAGCTAGCATGATTAGCATGTAGCTAACATCATAATAACATGATTAGCATGTTGCTAGCATCATGCTAGCATGTTTTTAACAAGAAGCTAGCATGATTAGCATGTAGCTAGCATCATGCTAGCATGTTTTTAGCAAGAAGCTAACATGATTAGCATAAAGCTAACATGATTAACATGTTATTAGCATCAGAAAGAAAGAAAGAAAGAAAGAAAGAAAGAAAGAAAGAAAGAAAAAGATTTGCTTAAAAGAAAGAAAGAAAGAAAGAAAGAAAGATGGAATTGTTAGAAAGAAAGAAAGAAAGAAACAAAGAAAGAAAGTGAAAGAAAGAATTGTTAGAAAGAAAGATGCATAGATTAGTTAGAAAGAAAGATGGATAGATTTGTTAGAAAGAAAGCTGGATAGATTGCTTAGGTAGAAAGAAAGAACGATAGATTAGTTAGAAAGAAAGATGGATAGATTTGTTAGAAAGAAAGATGGATAGATTAGTTAGAAAGAAAGATGGATATATTTGTTAGAAAGAAAGATGGATAAATTTGTTAGAAAGAAAGATGGATAGATTTGTTAGAAAGAAAGAACGATAGATTTGTTAGAAAGAAAGATGGATAGATTAGTTAAGTAGAAAGAAAGATGGATAGATTAGTTAGAAAGAAAGATGGATAGATTAGTTAGAAAGAAAGATGGATAGATTAGTTAGAAAGAAAGATGGATAGATTTGCTAGAAAGAAAGATGGGTAGATTTGTTAGAAAGAAAGATGGATAGATTAGTTAGAAAGAAAGATGGATAGATTTGTTAGAAAGAAAGATGGATAGATTTGCTAGAAAGAAAGATGGATAGATTTGCTAGAAAGAAAGATGGATAGATTTGTTAGAAAGAAAGATGGATAGATTAGTTAGAAAGAAAGATGGATAGATTAGTTAGAAAGAAAGATGGATAGATTAGTTAGAAAGAAAGATGGATAGATTTGTTAGAAAGAAAGATGGATAGATTAGTTAGAAAGAAAGATGGATAGATTTGTTAGAAAGAAAGATGGATAGATTTGTTAGAAAGAAAGATGGATAGATTAGTTAGGTAGAAAGAAAGATGGATAGATTAGTTAGAAAGAAAGATGGATAGATTTGTTAGAAAGAAAGATGGATAGATTTGTTAGAAAGAAAGATGGATAGATTAGTTAGAAAGAAAGATGGATAGATTAGTTAGAAAGAAAGATGGATAGATTAGTTAGAAAGAAAGATGGATAGATTTGTTAGAAAGAAAGATGGATAGATTTGTTAGAAAGAAAGATGGATAGATTTGTTAGAAAGAAAGATGGATAGATTTGTTAGAAAGAAAGATGGATAGATTTGTTAGAAAGAAAGATGGATAGATTTGTTAGAAAGAAAGATGGATAGATTTGTTAGAAAGAAAGATGGATAGATTAGTTAGGTAGAAAGAAAGAACGATAGATTAGTTAGAAAGAAAGAACGATAGATTTGTTAGAAAGAAAGAACGATAGATTAGTTAAAAAGAAAGATGGATAGATTAGTTAGAAAGAAAGATGGATAGATTTGTTAGAAAGAAAGATGGATAGATTTGTTAGAAAGAAACATGGATAGATTTGTTAGAAAGAAAGATGGATAGATTTGTTAGAAAGAAAGATGGATAGATTAGTTTGAAAGAAAGAACGATAGATTAGTTAAAAAGAAAGATGGATAGATTAGTTAGAAAGAAACATGGATAGATTTGTTAGAAAGAAAGATGGATAGATTTGTTAGAAAGAAAGATGGATAGATTAGTTAGGTAGAAAGAAAGATGGATAGATTAGTTAGAAAGAAAGATGGATAGATTAGTTAGGTAGAAAGAAAGATGGATAGATTAGTTAGAAAGAAAGATGGATAGATTTGTTAGAAAGAAAGATGGATAGATTAGTTAGAAAGAAAGATGGATAGATTAGTTAGAAAGAAAGATGGATAGATTTGTTAGAAAGAAAGATGGATAGATTTGTTAGAAAGAAAGATGGATAGATTAGTTAGATAGATAGATAGATAGATAGATAGATAGATAGATAGATAGATAGATAGATAGATAGATAGATAGATAGATAGATAGATAGATAGATAGATAGATCATTAGTTCATATAGAATGGTAGTTTAATTGAGTCTAGGGCTTCAGGGAATTTAGATTTGAGTTTTTGCTGTACGCTATTGGGCCACCGTAGTCTTGGCTCAATTTGACCATGCTGCAATGAAAGTCAATGGGATTTTTATGATTTTTAATATTAATTTTTAAGAAATCTGAAAGTCGAATCAGTCTAAAAAGATATAGCAACTCGAGTCAGAACAGTCTGAAGGTCTGACCCGAGTTTGGAGTTTGTAGAGTTAAAGCTCTAGGAGGAGTAGCAGTCAGAAAATTTTGGGTCAGAAAAATAAGAAGAATAATAATAAGTTTAAATAGGATTTCAGTAAGTTGGCTTTCTCAAGCCAACTTAATAATAATAAGTTTAAATAGGATTTCAGTAAGTTGGCTTTCTCAAGCCAACTTAATGATGTTTATTGTAATATAAAAGGAGATGTAGGAAGAGCATTATTTGCGGATGATGGGGCAATATGGAAGAGAGGTCGTAATATTGCAAGTGTAACACAAAGTATTCAAAAAGCAGTGGACGAAGTAGAGGGGTGGGCAGATAATTGGAGTTTTAGATTATCTGTGGCTAAAACCCAGGTTATATGTTTTACTAATAGGAAAAAAATACCAGAGGTCAGGTTAAAGTTGTATAAGCAGGAATTGGAGCAAGTGCCGGTGGTCAAATATCTTGGTGTGTGGATGGATTCCAGGATGACTTTTTCTATACATGCTAAAAATCTGATTAAGAAATGTAAAAAAGGGATAAATATATTAAGATGTTTAACAGGGGTAGAATGGGGGGCTTGTAGGTTATCGTTGAAAAGAATTTATAATACTTTAATTAGATCAAGTATAGATTACGGAAGTATAGTTTACGGATTTGCAAATGAGACTACACTCAAAAAGATAGAAGCAATACAAAATCAAGCTCTAAGAATATGTTGTGGTGCAGTCAGATCATCTCCCATAGCAGCACTACAGGTAGAAGTTGGTGTTGCTCCGTTAAAATTTCGAAGACATAAAATAAGACTGAACTATTGGGTTAATATAAAAGGTCATAAAAAGAATCATCCTGTGAAGGGGGTATTAGAAGAATGTTGGGAACATGGGAATAAAAACATTAAAAGCTTGGGATGGAGTGTTCAAAGAGAAGCAAAAGAAGCAGGTATTGAAGATTGTAATGTAAGCCCTACAGTGATTTTACCCAGTATCCCACCATGGTTGTTTCCTAGGCCAATAATTGATCTTCAAATTCATATGGAAATTAAAAATAAGAAAGATATCCCAAAGAATATTATAGCACAGCAGTATTTAGAACAGAAGTATTCATCATGGGTGCAAATATTTACTGATGGATCTAAGGATCCTATATCTGGAAGAACAGCAGCTGCTGTATATATTCCTAAGTTTCAAATAAGTATCAAGAAAAGAATAACTGACCACATCTCCGTATTTGCAGCAGAATTAGTTGCTTTAATGGTTGCATTACATTGGGTAGAAGATGTAAAACCGAGAGTAGTAGCTATATGTTCTGATTCGTTTGCAGCAATCACAAGTCTTGTAAGTGGAAATAAAGTATTAAGGCAAGACATTATATATGAGATACTTGCTAGTTTGCTAAGAATAAGTAGTGAAAGCTTAATAGTGTTTGTATGGGTTCCTGCTCATGTGGGGCTGGAGGCAAATGAAGTGGTAGATAGAATAGCAAAGCAAGCAGTAAAACATAATGAGATCAATGTGCAAGTGACCTTGAGCAAAAATGAAGTTAAAAGTAAAATTAAAGAATTCATAAAAAATAAATGGCAAGAACAATGGGATAATGAGGGGACGGGTAGAAAATTGTATAGTATTCAGAAGCAAGTAGGAAATGAAAGAAGTGTTTTTAGGAATAGGAAAGAGGATACAATTTTTTCTCGTGTTAGAATAGGGCACACACGATTAAATCATTCCTTGTTAAAGATAGGAAAACATGATACGGGAAAATGTATGTACTGTGGTCAGGCAGAAACAATTGAACATGTTTTAATTAAATGTGGAAAATATGAAAAAGAAAGGGTAGTACTTAAGAGGATAGTAAGGAAATTGGGTGTAGGAGTATTAAGTATGGAAAGTCTATTGGGAAAGCAAGTAGAACAAGTTAAAATATATAGTGCGATAATGAAGTATCTCAAAGAAATAGGAATAGACAGGAGAATCTGAAGCATAGAAGTATATGTTTTTTTTTTTTTTATTTGTTTTTTTTTTTTAGTTGAATATCGTCTTCATCTGTTAAGTGCTTCACACTCCAGTCCAGTTGGTGGCGGTAATGCACCGAAAGTTGGTTTGCCAACCGCCATAAAACATCAAAGAAGAAGAAGAAGAAGAAGACTTTTATTTTGCTATGCTGTGTGTGACGTCATTAGGCTGCGCCTCATCTCAGAGTGCAGAAAGGTTTGTGTTTTTTCCTTCTTGTTTGCCGTGTTTTAGTCGAGACGAAGCGTTCTCTGTGTGTAATAGTGTTCTGAAACAGTGTAATATGCATTACTGGATGTAACACTGCAGTGCTTTACCTAAGGTTAAAGCTTGTGATTTTATGATTGTGTAAATAATAACTTGCACGTGTCGAGGCGGGAATCAGTTTACGGTAAACAATAACAGTTATGGAGAAACTGAAGCAGATTATTCACTGAAAACACACAAACACAAACGTGGAATGACTGACACTGGCTTTCACAAACACTTTCATTCGCTTTTAATCGATTTACCGAGCATTAAACACATGCTACACATAACGTTGCACGTTCATTGTTCAGTATAAATAAATATAACCTTATAAATAAATACTTGTAGTTTTTGACTAATCAGGCCATTATTGTTGTGACTACTGAACTATGGAGACGCACGGTTCTGAGATGTAGTTCTTTGATTGAGTTTATATTATATTTATTTTGTCCACACAGAGAGAAGCGACAGAGATCCACACTGTTAAACCGATGGCGTTTATTAAAGAGGAGAGGGAAGAAGTGAGGATCTCAGAAGTGTTCCAACTCCAGGTCAAGCTGGAGGACCCCGAGACCGGTCAGTTTCACTCGTTCTGTTCACATGTTCCTCACTGGGATCGGCCAGGGTTAGTGTGAGCAGAGTAACTTACACACACACACACACAACACGGGCACTGCTTCACATCAACCGGTTTCTCTCTTTATTTAAACATTCATTCAGTCACTTATTAGGTCACATGACGTACACTCTGCAGTATGATTGCTTGGTTCCAAAATAAAATAAACAAATCAAATATAAATGAGAGCACAATATTTATAAATCTCAACGCCCCCACTTGCTCTCACATTTCTATTTCATCATTTCCAGTTCATCGCTTCAATATAAGTACTGAATTCACACACCAAACATAAAGGAGTTAAATTTCATTTACTTGAACTTTCTTGCTGGTTTTGTAAACACATCCGCAACCATATCATCAGTCGGACAGTATTCCAGATTAATTCCTCCCTCCTTTATTACAGATCTCGCTAAATGAGATTGAACGTTTACATCGTTGTCTATACACAGGAGCTAAAGCAGTGGCTCCCTGATTGTCCTCATACACTATATTCCTGACCATCGATGTTTTGTGACCCGTGCTGTAGAGTAAACACTCCTTAAAGACATGTACTCTGCTTCACAAGGCGAACCTGTAACCTTTGTGTAAACACAATGAACATGCAACATTTGGTTCCAGTTTCTGCCCGACTGTTTAAGTCCATTCAGTGACTTTTCCCAGTTATACAGCAGTTTCGTATTACCTTGAGATGTTGTCTCGTAACCCTCTGGCTGATTCATATAAATGTAAATATGCAGTGGTCATGAACAGCCCTGTACTTCTGTATCTGGTCACACTGGAGAAACAGTCTCATGATAGTCCACACCTCTCTCTCGACTGTAATCTACAGATCGTGCTGTGTACTGGTCCGTTCCATCACTACTTATCTTAATGGTGTAGGCCCATTTACCCCCCACTAAATCTGCTGGTTAGGGTAAAGTTTGCGCTTTCCTTTAGTGACTTCATCTCTTCACTCGTGGCCTTAACCCCTTCATCTGCCGTCACTGATCTTACTGCCTCTTTGTATGTCTGGGGTACATTATTACATCCAATAATCAATGTCAGCTTGCCTGTGAACATGAAGTAATCAGTCTGTTTAGTCTGAAAACACAGTGCACAATCCCTTTAAGGGTGTTTTAAGGACATGTTTGTGCCGGTCTGAAGAGGTCAGAGGTTATTCTAAAAGAGTCGAGACCCATCGTCAAACTGTCTGTGTCACCAAAACAAACTACACAATAGACTTAAATCCCCTAATCCTCCTTTTAGGACACCCCCCCCATCTTTGGGGTATTATTGAAGGAATTAATACTTCCTAACGCTTAACTGGGAACATTGATCCTCATGAACTCATAAAGCAGTGCTTTCCAGTGAGTGGCAGAGTTAGATATCCAACAGGGTTCAAGGTTTATATAAGACTTAAAACAGAACTTATATTTTGTGAACCCATTTTAAAATAAACCCATTTTGTGCATAACGTAAATTCACATCTTTGAATGTGGCGTACAATGATATTCAAAAAGAGATAGCTTTGTTTTTTTTATTTTATTACAAGATCATCTGTAATGTTGTTTATTGCAACATTTGTACCAATGTTCAAAATGCGATACATTACATATTGCCTGGAATATCTTTAATATTTTTAAATTTAAACGAAAAGTGATACTTTTATAATGCTAATAGCTTTTGAACCGTAAGGCCTATCAACAAAATCATTTGACGGTTTGTCCGATTTTCACCATCTTCAGGCAGTGCCGAAAAAACGTATGGAATTCAAGTTGATTCGCTTAACCGGTTTTCGATAAACGTTGATGAACTGTCATCACAAGCATGACCTGATGCTACATCCTGCGTTTAGATGCAGCGCCACCTACTGGTCTGGAGTTATGAAAAATGCTTATTTTTGCTTATAACTTCTGAGCGGTTTGTCCAAAAATCATAAAACTGTTCTCGTTAGATTCAGGGCGATAATTGTTATCCAATTTTCCCAGCTCGGCCATTTTGGCTGTCGGCCATTTTGAACTCGGTACTAAAATGCTGTATTTTTTGAACGCATGAACGAATTATTACGAAACTCGGTATGGATCATTGGTACGGTGCCCTGAATGAGCCTGAGAAGTTTCGAAACAGCGCCACCTAGTGGTAAAATGTAATTTTCAAATGCTTATAATTCTGTGTGTGGTTGACTTATTTTCACGGGAGTCATCTCGTTGGGTTCCTGAATTTTTGCGGAGATACCTAACACAATAAGTTTCTTCTTACGGTTTGTGTACGGTTTGATATCTTCAAAACTAAGGGGTAGTAAAATTCAAAGTCACGTGTCAGTCATTTTTAACATGTTTTTTCATATTTATGTCTATAACTTGTAACGTTTTTCCACACTCTTTGTTTGGGCTTTTTTATATGCTGGGGTGCCAGACAGGATTTCTGTCGTTAATTTAAGTTCAGTTTAGAAAACGTACAAATATCTTGTGCAGTCTGATTTCTCTTTCACAAAACCCGTCCCTTAACCTCTTAACCGTTGCCGGAGCGTAAAGAGTTATGTGTTTGTGACTCTAATTTATTTGAGATTTATCCTATCTTTGTAACCGTTTTCATCAGTTATATTGGTGAAATGGATAGACCTTTTGTAAAACTAAATGTGTTTAAATGCAAAATCCATTTAGTCTACTGGTGTATGAGATGGATCTGAAGTAAAATAATCTAGGGTAAAACACCGGTATATATCATATATCCCAAGCTTTGGAGAATTGCTATTTTCTACAATTGTACCTTATATTTTGCACATTTAACTTAAATGCTTATTCATCTCAATCTTTCTCTCTTGTACTTTCTCCACAACATATTTTATGTGCAGTAAATCACTAAAACAATTTCCTTTACTTTATCTGTTTACTGTTTACTTACAGTTGACTAGCTGCATCTGACACCTGGGGCTCGTTCTTCGTACGTTGCTTAAAACATCCGAGATCAAATGAGACATCTAAGATGATATCATCGTGCTAATCATGATCCGGCTAATTGGGTTCTTCGAACACACCTGTTGTTTATGATTAGTATCGCTGGATTGAGTTATCTGAGATAACTGCGCGTTCTCGCGTTGGTATAAAAGGGGACATGTATCGATAGCAGAACCAGTGATCAGCAGCGCTGCTATTGGCTGTTCAGCATGGGTTAGGGTTAGGGTTAGGGTTAGGGTTGAACATATAATAAACAAACAGCAATACAGTTAATTAAAATATATATTATGACGTCAGCATCAATATATCGGCATCTGTGCCTTTACGCTGCTCAATTCAAACCGCGCCAAACGGAAGTTCCGGGAGTCTCACGCATATTGATAGCGTCTCCCTGATGCCCGCAAATGAGTTAAAATCTCCCGGAATCTAGAGCGAGATACTGCGCGTATAACATACATAGCGTGCGGCGTGTGCACGGCAGAGATATGGGAAGCCAAACAAACCAAAAGTGGGACGAGACAGCGGGGCTTTACAGAGCTCGTGCCGCGCAGACATGTCATCTGCACGGTTCAATGATCCGAGCCGCGCAGCCGATTCGTCAGCGCAGCGCGGACGTGTTTCCTAGCGACACTCAATAGTCAGCGCTGTACTGACTAATTTAAAGCAACGCAAACCATATGCTACATACTACATGCAAATAAATGTACAATAAAGAAACCCCTCCTTCCTTACAAAGAATTGTTCTCTACTGAAGTTTAGGAGTTAATTATGGAGAATTCCATAATTAAAACAATCATTTGTTAATATTTATGTAAATTTAATATATAATATACATAATATTGTTTAATATGTAATATTTATTAAATATAAAATATGTTAATATAACATATTACCATTTTTATTTTATATTTATTTTAAACATATTTTAAATATGTTTATATAACATATATTAAACCCCCCCCCCCCCCCCCCTAACATTACATTCATTGAGATATACCTCCCTGAAATGAATTCTTGTAGGTTGGGATGTCTGTATGCAGCATAGATATATACACGGCTGTGCAGCTGCAAATGCGTTTTACATATAGGTTTCAGTAAATCGAGGAAAAGGAGTTTCCGAAGACATTTGTTGGCTATGATAAGAAAAACTACTGAATTAAAAAAAAAAATTGCATTTGATATTCTCATACATTTCATACATTTTATATTTTACATTTATATAAGATATAAGATATTACATTTTAGATTTCATACATTTTAGACCGTTTCAATTAAATTGAATTAGACAGATTGGATTATACATCTTAGAATCGATACATCTTAGACTCTGAACATTTTGTGTAAACAACACAATTTTATTTTATTTTCAGATATTAATGTAGCACAGATATGCATATGATTAATATAGCAAATGTAAGATACATAATATATGTATAAAAGTTCATCTTTTCTGTGCAAAAATAAATATGTATCGAAAAAATTTACCTCTATTTATTTTAGTAGTGTGACTTGACTTTACTTGAAACTTATCAGGACTTGACTTGACTTGCTTAGGGTGAACCCTTGACTTGACTTGACTTGCTTGATTTATCTGAACTGCGACTTGAGACTTGACTCGAGACTTGATGGTTAAGACTTGAGACTTGCTTGGACTTGACCACGTGTGACTTGTCCCCACCTCTGGGCCTTATAGACCATTTTGCAAGATGTAAACAACACTGGTCCAGAAGCACTTCCTGTTTCAGTTTGTAACTGTTTTCTTTATTTCACATGTAAAGAAAACATCTTAAAGATGTTGTTTAACTTTTTGATTCAGTTTTAAATGTTGTGTTGGTTGTATTTTATCCCAGCTTTTATGTAGTGTTAAAAAACTGAAACAGGAAGTGCTTCTGGACCAGTGTTGTTTACATCTTGTGAAATGGTCTATAGGCCTACTAGTCTCTTTTAAAAGGCACTGTTAAAAATTTGGCAACTTTTTAAAAGTAAACTTTCCATTCAGAATGTTAGGGCATACATTTCGG